TTGTAATATATTATAATTCCAGCATCGTTGGGGATCCTCTTTTGCTTTGGCAGGTAAAAACATTTTTTTAGGTTTACTAGGTTGGAAATAGGATAGGAAATTTCCTCCCACAACTTGACTACTTGGGGAAAATTAATTTTTCAGGAAAGGCAAAAAATGCACCCAAATCTTACGGAAATTGAGTCCTCAAATAAGATGTCGATTATTTCAAGAGAATTCTAATGTGTTGGTCGGTTTAGGTCTTTGTTCCTGGGAAGTTGAAAGTTGAAAACTGAAAGCCGAAGAAAATTTTAGGCGCTTCTCTTTTTTCTCTCATGATCTTTTCGCCTAGATTATTTTCATTTTTCTAAACAACCGAAAATGTTTCAAACTCGCGATATTCGTCAAATATGCAGATTTATGCAATATTCTTCAAATAAGCAAAACAACTTGATGTGATTCACTCGACATATGAAAGGCGTTCGGTAGTGTAATATTCCCAAATTTGTCAATAAACTGGCTTAATTTTCATGGTTCCTTCTTAAATTTATTAACGAACTTTTTAATTAATAGGCAATACTGTGTTAAATTAAACTGAGCTTCATCTTCTTATTTTGAATCTACCTCAGGAGTGCCCCAGGGATCTTGTTTTAGACCTCTTATTTTTTGTTTGTACACATATTAACGATGTAACTGATATTTTGAAGACGCCAATCTACTACAGTTGGTGCAACGATAATTATCTTAAATTGAACATTGCCAAATGCCATGAGATATTTCGAGGGCGATAAAAAAGTTTTTCGAACTTCGAAGTTATCAAGCAAAAGCGGCCGACATCATTAAAAGCAAACCTAACCGGAAAAATCCAATATTTCACTGACAAAGTAAATCAATGAAATATTTAAAGTCAATAAAAAAAAGGACCGAAATAAACATACTTTTGTGACAATAAAGGAAAATAAGATAAGCTGGAGTGTTCAAGAGGAGAAAGAAAATCTCCGCGCGGATGTTGTGCCTACGTGCTTTTAAGGATGTAATTTAATAACAAACATACAAAAAAATCACGAATATCAATTTGATCTCGTTTTAAAAATGATAATGATTAAAAAATGGCAATACTTTCTCATCCCACGACAGTTGATTGTAACGCTTTTCTGAGATATCCTTCATTTTACAAGCAGCACATTACCCCCTCTTTCGTATCCTCAAATAGAATAAGTGCGAATTTAACGATGAAAGAAATTTGTCAATTTGCATTTTTTTTAAACTTTTGGTTCAATTTCAAAAACAGAGATGTGCTCAGATGAGATTGAGGGCGTGGAACAGGAAGAATGTCAAGGGCGTGGGCCGGCCGGAAGTGCACCAAGGCCCACTTACTGTCCTACTCCTTGGTAATATCATCAGAAAAAATCTAAGTAAATATAAATATTTACTCGTGGAAAACGCCGAGTTGTAAATTCACAAAGGACCGACTACATATCGCACACAACAATTTCACACAACACCAATATTACACCACAAGAATAGCACCACATTTTACGCCTTGAAGATGACCAAAATAAAGGTTTAAACCGCTTCTCAAGAATCCAACAAAATATTAAACAACCGGTCACTAAATAAACACACAAGAATATTATTATTACTTTTATCAAAACAATTTGATTGTTAATTTCATGTATTTATATATTTTATTTTTATATTGTTGTCATTCGTTGTATATTTTTTATTATATGATTTCACTTTGTAAACTGTTACTTTCCAATATTTAGTACTATAAAAAAAGGGTGTGGCTGCCCGTTAAATAAATATGAATAACTGATAAAGAATATCGCTTCTAAACGCAGAGTGATAGATGTCAGGCTTCGACGTAGAAGGAATTTTTGAGATCCACGTTTGATAAGCTAAAAATTGGTGAAACGGCTAATGAAAGAGCTGCTAAAAAGCCCAGTTGTTTCTGTTTATCAGGGCAGGTTCACGTATTAAAACAAACTTGCTAAATTATTAAAATATGTAGTACATTGGTGATTACAACAACGCCAGAAGATTGATTTCTCGTAAAACTATGAACTTTTACTAGCTATTATCGAGTCAAGAAATGTCTAACTCTAGTTAAATGCAAATAATGCATTCTCTAAATACTGGTTTGACAAGAAAGTAATGTCGTTTTTCAATTTTAGTATTAATTAGCTCAATATTTACATTTTTGTTTATATTATTTTCATTTACAAATACAATTGTTTAATCCCTAAATTAAAAGCTTTATTTCTCCTCAGTTTCTGTTTTTAATTTCATTAGTTGTGTCGAATAATTTAATAGTTAATCATGTCTATATGAAACGTATTTAAAGCATTGCTTACATTATGAATTCCAAAAAAACAAAAACAAAGAGATTGCACTGAAAAATTTGTTCGTAGTGTTTGGTACTAATGCTGTAAATGTTCGTAAAGTCCATCGGTGAAATTTTGCTCTTGAAGATGATGCGTGCAGTGGACGTCCTGAGATTGAGGGATAGGCTAGAAGAGAATCCCTTTTCACGATCTGAGAACTAGGAAAGATGGCAAATGTTTCCCATACAACCATTGAAGACCACATCCAAAGACTGGTTTGTTCAACAGTACATGGATACCACATCGAAGGAATTGGGCGGATCGTATCTCAATTTGCTCTTACTTTTACTTCTTCATAGACCGGTAATAGGTGATGAAAAAAACATACAAAAACTTAGACCGCAAAAAAGTTTATTGCCAACCCAGTCAACGGTCCCCAGTTGTTCCAAAACAAGAAATGCACGAGAAAAAAGTATACTAAGCATTCCCTTCATACTAAGCATTTTGAGCTTTTATCACAAGGGCAACGGTTAATAGTGAACTGTGCTGTGAACAACTAACCCGTTTAGACCTTCAAATAAAGCTAAAACGGCCTCACTGCCAAAAAGAAAAGATGTATTCTTTCACCACGACAACAGCCAACCCCATGTTCCTCGAACACAACTGGGAAATTTAGTGATACCCGCCTTTTTTCTCCGGACATTCCACCTTGCGACAAAATTTTTTAAATACCAAAACTTTAAAACTTTTGAAAGTGTACAAACGTTCCTCGACTCAAAAGATGGGAATTTTATGCGAAAGGAATAGACATGCTCACTAAAATATGGCAAAAATTAATTGCAAACAATGGACATCTCCGAACAGTAAAAAACAAGCCAGGTATAAAAAATATAAATATTCTAAAATAAGTCATTATTTGCCAACACAATAGTTGGTCTGCTGAACAGTGCTTAGAAAATTCTATAAGTCGATCAGGGATGTGGTTCAACAAACTTTTTAGTTTGCCAAGCTTTTGGCGAATATATTTCGTCTTCCTCAGGGCAAATTTACGAAAAAATAAAAAATAAGAGATCTAGAATCAATATGGACTCCCCATTAAAAGTCCTTAGCTTAGAAAACTATATACAAAAAGCTCTTGGCTAAGAACTTTTATCTGAGAGTCCAAGTTGACTCTAGATCTCTTTTTTTTTTTTTTATAAATTTGCCATGAGGAAGACGAAAAATATACGCTGAAAGCTTGGCAAACCTATAAAAGTTTTGTCCATCGGACCACATGAAAAAGTTAATATTTTAAAATTTTGTTTTGCCATTAAAATGGCATAGCTTTTGTAAGCACTAGGGAAGTAGTGACCTACCAGCAGTTGTTAATTCCAGTAGTGCATCAGGGATGTGGTCCCTTTTATGAGTTTGTAAAGCTTTCAATGTATATATTTCGCCATCCTCGGGGAAAATTTATGAAATAATAAAAAAATAGAAATTTTGAGTCAACATGAACTCTCAGTTAAAAGTTCTTAGCTACGAGCTTGTAATTTTTACATAGCTTACATAGTTTACAAAGCTAAGGAGTTTTAAAGTAAAGTCCATGTTGACTCCAGATTTTTTTCCACAAATTTGCCCTGAGGAAAGGGAAAAGTGAAATATTATCGCAAGCTTATCAATTTTTTGTTCATGGGAACATATTCCTGATCCACTTTTAGATTTAACAATCCCAAAAAAAAAACCTAACCGGGAAAAAAGGGCCAAGTTCCAGACGACCCATTCCCAAAAAAGTAAAAAAGTTAACCTATCAAAGTATACCTACATCGTGGCCTACCTCACTTCACTCCTACTTTTATGATCAACACAGTTCTTTTATTTTTTTACTGGGTAACACTTGGCCAGTTTCTGAATGAGGATTAAAACATCACGAACATGTTTGCTCACCCCGGAAAGGAACCCAACCTAGGTTGGGAAGACAGAGAACTCACAAGAATAGAAAAAAAGTTCCAGACTCCTCATTGTTCATTCACAAATGGGCCAATTGTTAACCAATAAAAATAAAAGAACTGTGTTGTTCATAAAAGTAGGAGTGACGTGAGATTGGCCACAATGTAAATATCACTACCTTAATAGGCTGACTTTTTACTTTTTTTGAGAGGAAGTCTGGAACTTTTATCATTTCTTTTGTGTTCTCTCCGATTATGGACTAAAAAAGAACGGACTTGGCCATAGTGTACATACATATCATTTACACTGATAGGATAATTTTTTGGAAGGGGTCTGGAACTTCCTTTTTTCACGGTTATGTTTTGTTGGGATAATACTTTTTTGTTGGTTTTTTTCGAGGCACAGAAGTGATTATGCATAACGTAGATTTTCTCTTATATGATCGTTTGGCCTCTGTTAAAGAGCTGAGAGATTAGCCCCTTGATTAACAATTGCTGGTGGATCACTACATCCTTAGAGCTTACAAAAGATAATACTATTTTAACGGGAAAACAAAATTCTAAAACGTTAACTTTTTCATTGCTAAATGCATTCTTGGTGTTTTGGTCAAGTAGTTAAATTGTATAATTTAGATCAAAAGCGGCGAAGCTTAAGACAATTTATCTTTAAGTTTTAATATGTCCGATTGGATCGAAGAGGTTCGTAGGGCCTCTTTTCGTTTATTAATTAATTAATTAATAATTAAACGGAAATGTCGAAGCTTGTTACCTTAATGGCTTTGTATTTCTTTTTGGTGGCGGTGTTGAGGTCTTCGTGCACTTTGTCCAGGAGCCAAAGTAGAAATTCTTGGGCGTCGTGTTGGTTGTTGCCCCGGAACTGACTGCCGTATTTGTCGACGACCAGTTTGAATTTGTTCGATATCTCCGGATCGTACTGGCACGACCAGATTGATTTGAGTAGGAGTGCCAAGTGCTGCGTCACCTCGCCTTTGGTGCCGTGTTTCTTCGAATTGATTTTGTTCCTTTTGGACAAGTCGGCTTTGTACTGGTCTAGGACGAAGTATTCGGCGAGGATATCCGTGTGGCTAAGGCACTGTAGGACGGCGTTGATGAAGCAGGTGTTGCCGTGGTTCCTGAGTCCGATGACGCCTGGTACTTTGTCGCCGGGGAAGCCGCCCGGCCGTACCGGCGGAACCCGGACGTCGCACGAACTCAGCGATACGCCGTTCGGCCTGCGCCCGCTGTACGCGTAACTCGAACAGAGATTCTTGTTGTTCTGTAGGCTCAAATTTGACACCTTCTGTACGACCTTGTTTATGAATTTGTTCCAAGACGGCCTGAGGAAGTGTCTCTTCTTCGAATCCACGTTCTCCATTTCGTTGATGATCATCTGGTTGTTCCTACGGGTTTTCCTCCCGTTTCTGTGGTATCGCGAGGCGCTCAACGCGTTCCTGGTGAAGGACAGGGTCCGTTTCAGCCTGGACTCGTTATCGGTGTTGTTGAAGGATGTGGAATCCGTTTTGTCGACGGACGACTCGCTCTCCGTCACCGGCATTTTTCCCGTCACCTCAGACATGACGACATAATAAAACTGTTCATCGGAGATCCTTTTAATAAAGCCGACGTCGAAATTTCTTTTACAAAGGACACAGTCGCGATTAAACCGATAGAACACAATTTGTCGACCGAGTGAACCGCACCAAGACCCTCCTTAGACTACAATAATGTCGAGGCTGAAACCGGAATGATACGAATCTAACGTCTTGCCAACAGCTTTATCATTATTTTAAAAAAGTCGAAAATACATTTAAATTGTCACAGTGTACTGTGAAAATACACCCTGAACATTCTTAGAGACGAAAGAAATTTTATTTTATAACAATTTCCCAGCCACGTCTTCTTTACGCGTCTGTTGGCCTCTCTGCGAGAAGGGGCGCCACATTTGAATTCACGTCGTCAGCTTTGACATAATTTACATATTTACACAACATGTAAATCTTTCTTAATTTAAACTAAAAGCATTCTCGTATAGACTGAATATTTTTAAATTGTCTCATTTAAAATAATTATAACAATTGTACTGTTATTAATAATATATTTTTGTTTGATTTCAGAACATCTGCCAAGAAAAGCCGTACCTACTGTTTTACATTATATATATAAAACAATAATTACAACAAAGTTAAGATATTTAAAACAACAAAACAAACCATTGATAATAATCAATTTTATAATTGATGACTGACAGGCAAAAAAATTCCACCCACTTGTAATATAACTTGATTTCTATATATTTTTATATTTGAATCAAAGTTTCATGTTTTTTAACGTTTCATAATTGAGTATTTGTCTAAAAAAGTAAAAAAATAATGATGTAAATTGCTTAGGAAAATGAAAAAAAGAAGACGGACAGATAAAATTTATTTTAATTTTGTTTTAGATTTTTAATTATCATTTCAATATCGGGTATTTCCTCCTCTTGTCTGAATTACATCTTGGATACCCCTCAGCATACTTTCTACCAGTCTGGAAATGTCTCTTTGCTGGAGATTAGCCCATTCTTTATGAAGATTCCTTTCAAGATTGTGGATTGTATCAGGAAGTGATGAACCTACACTTATTTGTCTTTTGAGGTTTTTTCATAAATGTTTGAAGGGGTTCAAGTCTGGATAACGTCTGGCCAGTCTCAGACCGTAATGGTTGAAGGTACGTTTGTACTATGCACGCAACTTGTGGATGAGCATTATCATGCATTGGAATAGGATTGTCGCTGATTTCATCAAGGATGGACATTGCATATGTTCCAAAATTTCATCCACGAGTGCCAATCAAAGATCCGCCACGAACAACAACCAACTCTGTGTTCCTCTCTATTGAAATTACCACCCACACTATCACTCAGCTATGTTAAAAAGGTTGGCTCTGGGAAAAATTATAGGCTTCGTACCTTTCATTTTGCCTTCTCCACACTCTTTCATGCCCGTCTGAAGATTGTAGAGCAAATCTACACTCATCCGTAAAAAGTACAGCAGACCAATCGTCCAAAGACCAATTATTGTTCTCAAGCAAATGCGAGCCGTGCAACTCTGGTCGTTCTGGTCAATTCTGATTCTCTTACTGGGCAAAAAGCCATCAGTCCATATTGATTTAATCTTCTTCAGTGCATTCAGAAATTCAGGCACCTTGAACTTCCTGGAGCTAATGAATGGCTTGAATAACAGTAAGGTGCCGGTTTCACAAAATTCTCAAAGTCAAAAACGGTCATCCTGTGGTTCTGTTACCCTAGGGCGTCCAGAACACCCAGTTTCTCGAAAAAGTCTAATGACATCTCGCAGTGTGTCAAAGAGGACTCCGATGGCAACAGCCGCATACCTTATGGAATGTCCATTGTCAATTAATGCCACACCTCGTACAACATATTCAGCACTAAGTGGCATTTTTAAATTTAAAAATTGAAATTAAGAAAACATATATGAAAACTAAACAGTTTATTGCTTTAGAATTCAAATGAGACTGAATAAGCATTTTAAATTCCATAAAAAGTAGACATGAAAAAGCATTTATCCTTGTTTTGGATTAAGGATTAAGCTAATTGAATTCCCAATTTAAAACCTAGCATAAACAAACATTTATTGGTAAAAACAATGAGACAAATTAAGGGCAGAATTTTTTTTATGAAGAAAATGAAAAAAAAAAATCAATTGGGTGGGATTTTTTGTCTGTCAGTGCATATATATCATACATACAATTATGCATAACTATATATTATATATTCATATAACCGTTATAACTTCCATTCATGATGCTGAGCCCCTGCAAAATTTGTAAAAAAGGTATAGTATTAGACAGGCAGGCATCCAATTGAACAGACAGATTACCATTAAAGGCCAAAGGAATCACCTACTCTAACAACCTGACATTTAAATTGCATTGGACTGAATAATTAATCAAGTAAATCAAATTTTAGGTTTCTTACATATGTTTTACTGTTTAAGGCCTTGGTCTGCCACATTTTAGAAAACTGTTCAGTTTTTTGGTCAACACATCAGAAAATAAATAAGTAATTCAACAGAAAATATACAGGCAATGATTTTTATTGACACTCTGGCTTAAAATTACTACAACATACTTGGATACACCATACAAACTTATTGTAGAATCTGCAGAACTGCAACCACTAAACATAAGACGATAAAATAATGATCTGATATTTCCTTACAAACTCTCTGCAGTTAATCAATTTGCTAAATTTCCATGTTCCACAGTGAACACCAGACAAAAAATATATTTTCAAAATCTAATTATAATACAAATTATTTAAAATTTATTTTGAGTCCTCGACTCTTGAAAACAAGAGTTCTTTCTTTACATTGTGACACGTTTTACCTTTCCTTAAGCCGAATTAAACATTTAAAAAAAATATATTGATCATGGAAATGCATTTGATTTATTTATATATTTCTGTTGTTTTAATTTTTTTAAAATAATTCATGTCACTTCCTTTACATTATTTCTTTTATATTTCTGTTGTTTAATTAATTTTTTTTATTCCTTCTCACTTCTTTTATATTTTTATATACATGTGTATTATGAAACAATATGTACAATACTTTATTTCTGTTTGTTATGGTATGGTATGGTAGAAAAGGATACTAGGAAGCGGGGTTTGCACTCCCCGGGCACTGCAGCCTTCTGGCTTATTGTACCTTCCCAGTTCCCTAGTTTAGTCAATAGACTCAATCCTTCTTCTCAGAAGCATCAAGTCATTGACTGTTATTGCTGCAATTTGGTTCCCTGTGTCNGGCACAGTTACCCCTGTGCCATTCATCCATCGGCACGGATCGCATAACACCTTGGATTTGGGCTGGAGAGTGGGACCAGGATAAGGTGTGGGGTGGGAAGAGGGGTAGGTGTTGGGTTTAGGATTAGGAGGTGTCAGGTCCAGCTCCTGTCCCTCCATACCCCTCTTTCCGTTTGTTAGTTAACAGGGTACACCCGCATAAGCTTCGTGAAGGTGGAAAGTCGGAGTTGGGTATTAGAGGCTATTGGAGGCGCATAGTACCCGTTCGTACCCCTCTGTTTGTTAAGTTGAATATGTCCATATTTTTAATAATTGTTATATGCATATTACTATTTATGTTTCAATTATTCATTATTACTTATGTATAACTTAAACTCTTATACAAAATGTAATTGGTTTTTTTAAAAACCATTTGTATGTCGGATTCGATTGCAGGACCTTTATCTTACAGTGTTATGCACCATGTTAATGGCTAAACCGTGTGTCCATCTACACCATCCCTCCCTATATTGTTTGGCAAAACCAATCATTATTATTTTCTTCACACTTTTTTATTCACTAGTCCGACCAAATACAATAAACTATATGTAGTGATTTATATTTTTATTTCAATAGTTCTTATTTACATTCAGCAATTGTCATGCCCGATTTGGCTCATTAGAAACTATGTATACATATATATGTTTAAAACGATATATATTTATATATAAATATATATCAGATTTAAAACTATGTAAATTTATAATATTTAATATATTCACTTAGTATGTCTTGCAGCAGGTGTAGATTTAGTTTTGCTGAGATTCTTCTTTTGAAGGCTTACCGAACAGAAAGTGGATGGGAGTCCATCATGAAAATTGAATTTAAATATGTACATATTTTTTATTTTGCAGGGTTAGTTTTCCATTAATGATACATGGTCCTTTTTATTTATCCTTTTTTTTTTCAGTTTGAGCAGTTTGCTCATCTTCTAAAACTTTTGTGAAGTATTACTTTCTGCATAGATTTTTGACGCCCAAGCTGGTCCTCATGCTGAGAAAAATAGTCAAATAAAAATGACCATATGCTCATTATTGGAAAACAAACCATACAAAATAAAATTTATACAATTTCATGTGAAAAAAGAAGAAAACAAGTAAAAATATGAATAAAATTTTTTAATGTATATATAAATTTTTTTAATGTATATGTTGTCTAGGTTTTGTAATTCAAGATTAGTCTTAAGGTAAAAATGATCATGTTTACATTACATGCACGACCATTCTGCTGTTGTCAACTTATTTGAAATTTACCATAATTTTCCATGATATTTATAGATAATACTATCTTGATCATGTATTGTAACAAAAAACAATTAATATATCTGTAATCGATCGATGTGTATGATATTTTAATTAGATGTACATTTGAGAAAAGTAAAGTAGTGAAAGGGTTACGTTGGAATGATTGGAGATGATGTCCATTGCAGGTCTCAACAAATCTCAATAAATTTAATACGTAGTGGTTTAACTTTATTGAAATGATAAGGCAGTAGATAGAGATGTTGCAAGAAAAGAAGAATACCTTATGAAAAAAAAGATACAACAGTTGTTAATATATTGTGTAATGGCAACGCTGCTGTAATTCAATTACAAACAGTTACGTTTTTATTTGATGTAACGTACTGCTAAGTTCTTATTATTGCTATGGCTTTCCATTGTTGTTTTAAACAATTTTTAAAATACTATGTACAGGTAAATAAAATGAAAAGTAAATAATCTTAAACTCAATGTTTCAATCTATAGTGGGAGTTCTGTTCTGGTCTCATTTGCTTTCTTTAATTCTTTTCATTATTAGTGGTTTCATCATACAACTTGTCCCCTTCTACGAATTGGGGTGTAAGTCTGGCCATCCACTCACAAAATTCCTCTGAAACAAAGTAGCACAGTGACAGTAATTATACTCATATTGTTGTATGTTATAATTTTATTTAGATAGTGTGGTGGAGAGAAGAAAATCCAAGTGTCCCATAGCATAAATATTTCTTTATTCTGGACATTTTGGGCTCATTGCCCATCCTCAGCAGACTCAATGAGCCATTCCTCAATCTTAATCTCCATTACGGACTAGATAGAAGTAAAAAAATTTTTTTATAGAAAAAGAAATATTTATGCCATGGAATACTTTCATTTTCTTTTCTTCACCAACCATCTAATAAATAAGATATTAATGTAATTAAACAATAGATAATTTTATCATTCTTACGATGCAGCTCATTTACTGAAGCTAAATCTCCTCCAAAATCACTCGGAAGACAATTTTTGGGAAGGTACTGCTGAACGTCCTCATAATTTGAAGAATGAAAATGAATCTGAAATTTTTAAAAATTAGATTATACAATTAAACAATATCTAATTAGTAATCCACTTCAAAAAGATTGAAAAGTTAGTTTTTCCTGTCTTGTAGCTCATGTTTTTGTTATCAAACAAACTGAAGTTTAACAATGACTGAATGTAGAATTAATCCATTACAGATGAAATGGGGCATTGCTTTTCTGAATATTATTTTATGACAAAAATAGTAAAATATTATAATCCCAAAACCACTTCAGATTTGTGTGTCTATTTAATCAATTTCATTACACATGGCAAATTATGATGCAATTCCTTGTTATCTTCAGGATAATGTCATTATTATTTAATCTCAAAATATAGTAATTTTCTTTTTTCAATGGAATAGATACAACCAACTAGTATCTATTTTGGGGCACCCTATCTATTGCTGTTAAAATAGAAAACAAAAACCTTTCAAAAAAGGAAATAAGATTGATCGGCATAAGAGTAAACAAAGGAAGTAAGCAAAGCATTATTTATGCTTATTTTGACTAGCTCTTAATTACCAGTAACTAATATAGAAAAATGATGGATTTAATTTTAAATTAAACACACACACACACACACACACACACACACACACACACACACACACACACACACACACACACACACACACACACACACACACACACACACACACACACACACACACACACACACACACACACACACACACACACACACACACACACACACACACACACACACACACACACACACACACACACACACACACACACACACACACACACACACNACTGGAAAATGCATTTATTGACTTTATCAATTCTAAAAATTCTGAATTCTACTCAGACGGAATTAATAAGTTACCAACACGTTGGGAGAAATGTATTGAGAGTATGGGAAATTATTTTGATTAAAGAACATTGCTTTAAAGTAACTAGTTTCTTTTTTTTTGTTTAATACCAAAATCCTGCATTATTTTCCGGACAACCCAATACAATATATCATAAATAAAATTCAATTTTAATAAATATAACATACAGTATTTATTTTTATTTCGTCTTAATAATTATGGAGTTATGTAGTAAAAAGAATACTGTACTGAAGACAATCTTCTTACGATACATTAAAAACTATTATCATATACCTGAATGTAACGGAAAAATTTTCTCATGCTGGATACACTCAATCTCATCAAGTGAGAGAACCTGACTCCTTTCATATTAAACAAAAAAACATATCCTGGTACTGTTCCTTCCACACAAAGACAAGCATCGATAGCCATAGCCAAGAGTTTAACTCCGTCATTAAATACATATTTATTAGCTTCATATTGTTGGAGGCCATGGTATATGATTTGGTATCCATGTTGATCTTTAACAGGTAGACATGAATATTGCCTGTACAGGCAATTTATGAAAATATTTTTATTTATTTAAAAGATTATTTTTTGATTATTTATCAAAAATGAATAAAATAATAATAATATTAAATAATACGCTAGCTAGAACTTACAAAACAGTCAGTGCTTGTTGAAGTTCTGGTCTGGAGACATCTCGGTTTTTAAAAAACTCTGGTGAATTTTTCCTTAATTCATAATAAACCTCTATACAGGATTGGGCTGCTTTCATGTCATACATACAACTGTGATAAAATAATATCAGCAATTCATCTGAAATGAAAATTATCTTTTTAACCATTATATTCATAAAATTATTTCAGCGAAGCAGATTAGAAAGTGTTTTTAAAATTTAAATGCAAATTTTCTACAAAATTATTATCCTATTCAGCTAATCCAAAAACAAGCACCAAAACATCACAAAATACACAATAAAATATGGACAATTATAAATATATCTAATATAAAAATAAGATGATTAATGGTGATTATAATTACTATTATTAATTAATTAGTTAGTCGATTTTGAAATCTTTTCTCACACTATCAGATAATTACAACATATTTTAGTCTTAACTAAGACCAAGTAATGCCTGTTAAAAAAAATCCTTTATACATAGTTTTATATAAGTAGTTAATTGAAAATGAATTGAAAAAGAATTTCAAACATATTCTTGTTTGAGCAAAAATATTCCATGTTTAAAAAAAAGTTTAAATTGACAATTACTTTAGCATTGAAATTACTTTCCATATTATCTATTATGGATATTATTCATTATCTACTTCCAGTATCCCACATGTAAATTTTATGTCAACTTAAAAATATACTCAAACTAAACTGGCTGCATTCTTGTCTTACAAACTTATTGTAATCATCCCATTCAGTGTTTTCATGTTATATGCAGAAATATAACTAACTTAACTCAGATTCAAAGGTAATATTACACCATAGCCTCCACCACAATATTATATATATCCATGCTAATAAATACATACATTTCCCATAATTGTATTAAAAAAAATCATCATAGATTATAATTTATCTACTACATACAATTTCCCAATAAGTGACCCAATGCTAGTTCAGCATATATACAATTCCATGCAATGATTTATACTCCTAATGCTTAATTTGCGAGTAACATTAAGATATGAAATTGTGATTGGTGGAAGTAATTAAGTGCATTGAAATTTCCTGATGTCCTTCCTATAATAATAAAAAGTGGAGTAAGGACAGTCATCTTGTTAATTCAATATCATTGATTAATCAAAAGAGGTAAGATGCGTTACAGTTGAAACATTAGGTAAACGATTTTTTTTTATAATCGATATTATTTAAATGTTTTAATTGGTAGATCATTTTTGTAATTTTTGCAGTTTTAAAATTGCAGTTTTTTTTTGGCTTTGCCGTGTGAGCATCCGTCACTCCAGTTTAGATCATGTATCGAACTATAAAAAGGAATGTGAGATTTCTTCCCGTGGTCTGATGAACGTATAGTTTGATGTCAACGTGGTCTACCTATCTTTGCTGATTTAATGATTCAGACGCGTTTCGGCATTTTTGGTTGCTTTCAAACTCAAAACAAGGTAGCAACATGCCGAAACGCGTCTGACAAATTCACCGAGGATAGGCAAAACAAGATCATAGATAATTCAGTCAATCTAAAAGAAATATGAATTTGGTGCGTCTTCGCCTACGTGAAAAATCCCCGTTTTTCATACTCCCAAAAGGCACATCCACATTTTTGCGTATAAATTAATCGAACTACACCTACAACTATATTGTTTGATTTACCTGAAATTGACGGTAATTTCTTAGTTTCTGCCCATTTCTTCAGCTCGAGAATGTCTTCTTGCTTCAAATCGGGGTTCTTCATATATTCCTGGCCGGCGTTAACGGAATATACACTCATCTCGGCCACCGCTCGACTTGCTGTAGAAAAACTTGTGTCAGTTCATCACAAATTTTCTTGTAGTTAGATCGTTTCCAATCTCCAGGCAAGGACTATCGGAGACGACCAAGCTACCGTACCACCGTAAATCTCACCACAATTTTTCTTATTCCTTCTTTTTCTGATTTTATAAAATGCTCTAAGCCTATACAGCGTCAAACTTCTTCATTCTGTCCTTACATCTAGTAAATATGGTTAAAATAACAAACTTTTAAATGTAAACTCGAGACAGCTGTATTCTCTAAACGAGGGAAATCATTAGGTTTAATTAAGAAAATGAATAAAGTCAAATATTTCGACCGGTCAGTATCCTCGACAAAAACTGGCCATTTTTCTTATTTACTTAATTTTATGAATAGGTCAATTCTTATTTTCAATCAATCAGTTCGTCAATTCTTCCTATGAAGAAGCAGACATGGAAGGTCCAATTTTCTTATATATTTTATGAACAAATTGAAATTTGTTTTCTAAATCGTTGTCTTTGTGAGATGAAACAATTATTTCTGGTAATACCAATGCTAGATGTCAGTCAAAAAAATAGAACCTGCAGATTTATTGAATTGTTTAAAAATTAAATTATAAGTAAATAAAATTTAAAATAGCATTAATGCATGTACTATGTGCTCACATGAGCGTTTTTATATATCTATAAAATATCTGCATTAATTTCTCACTTAATTTTTGTACAAACGAATCGAAAATTATTCTTGAACTAGCATTACTAGAAATCCTGTTATCATTCAAATAAAAATGATGTAAAATAAACATCAAACAAAAACGGGTAGTTCAAGTCAATAAATTGATTATGTGAAATTAATTGATGACTCATTTCCTGACAATATGTTTACCATTGTTTTTTAACTTTTTAGAACAGGAAACGCCCTAATGTTACTAAGCTTTGGAAATTAATTCGGTTTAAAACGAAGGTAAACTGAAGTGATAGGACAGTTTGTTATTGTTCAATAAATAAATTATTATAAATATGTTAAGAAATGTAAACAATAAAGTGTAAAACAAACCTTAAATGAAATAGGCAGTAACGGATCCTATAGAATACTAAGCTGTTAATACCAATACGAAGGATCATCCTGATTACCATACATTTAGAAACATTTGATAGTTCATATTCTTTTGTTCCCCCTCTTTCCGTGTAATGTTAGTTGGTAGTCACTTTTCCCTTATGAAATTAACCATCTTATTGTTTGTAGGTATTGAAAGTTTTCCACGACACTAGAACCTCTTCGACATCCCAGCAGACTCTATTACACACTGCTATTGCTTACCTGTAGCTTTTGGCCGTTTATCTATTTTTATAACGAGCTGGATATAAACTTACTTAACCTACACATTACAAACATGTAAGTTACCTATTCTTTAACTATAAGATAAACTAATTATTGTCTAGTTTATAGGAAGAGTATACAGAAGGAAGGAAACCCTTTCCAGTTCGCTTTTCCTCACTGCTCTACAAACTGCAACACAAAATAATCTTAACCGCGAATAGGAAGGGTCGACTTTGGCGAGTAGTCGTCCAGACATCCACTTTTGAATTTATTACAAAATACAAAATCGTCAAACCACTTCATATAAAAAACGTCACTGAAGATGGTCTACACCGAAACGCGTCTGACTAAATAAATTCCTATTGTGGAAAAACTTTACAAACTGCCCGAAATCATCCCAAATCAACATAACACAATAGAAAAATAAATTTATCAAACATTAAAAGGTCAAAGAAACTAAAGAAGTTCATAACATTCCAGGTTCTTCTATCGAGTGCGATGGGGTTTGGCAAAGTTGGAAATGTCACAAACACATTTATCCATTATTTTAGATTAAGAGAGTTATTTAACCAATTAGACTGTTTAGAACAATTTTTTTTCGCAACAGCAGAGATCATATAAACCCTTAGGGTGCCGGTGTTTTTGAAGAAAAGCTTATTTGTAAGTATGTCGGGTTCGAAAGCAGGGTCACTGGATTCGAACCCGGGACCTTTACCTTACAGTGATGATCGCCGTGTCAACGCCTAAACCGTTGCGGCCACCGACGCCCCCGAGAAAATTTTACAACTGCATATGAAAACTTGTTTACTTGAAAAATAATTTGTTAAACAGTAAAAAAGTACATTATTTAACGGATAGTAGTACAAGAATTAAAACGTTATAAATTCTTTAAGATTAATTAATGACAATAAGGTAAAAATCACTGAAATATTAAAACTAGTGTAATAGAAAATAGTTAGAAATAATGATTATAAACTTTATAAATTACTCCCTGCATACCTGCATAGAGTTGCTTATAACCCCGCCCCGAGGAACATAAGTATTCAGGGGTGAGTGTGTGACGTCTGCAGAATAAAAGTAAGTAATTAGCGAGAATGGAGTGGATACAACAAGGAATGGAAAGGGAGTGAATGTGACCAGCCTTCTATGTTTGTGATGATAAATAAGTATGTATTGCACATTTGTTTCTATTCTGTATTTGACAACCTGAAGTACAAACGAGAGACGCATTTTAGGATATCGACTTAGTTTTCAGCAAATTCAAAAAGCAGAGGAGTCAGTAACTAGATCGAGACGCTGAAGTTTAATTTTTTTAAATTTTGTTTATGAGAAGATTTAATTTTAATAATGATAAGATCAATGATGCGTATTTTACTCAAAAAGCTTAAGAAAATACGTGCGAAAGATCAGAAGAAGGAGGAAAACATGAGGAAGATGACCTCAGCTGTTTGTCGGCCCATAAATCTCATACGTTTTATATATACATATACTCTCTGAACCTAGATGAATATTGCACTATTATAATTGTAATAAATATAAACGGTTTGATAAAACCGAAACAAAAAATTGGTAATTGTAAACAAATTTAGTCTAAATACCTACGCCCTTCTGTTCAAATCAACACTAATAATACTTAGGAGGCACTCGACCAGAGAATCGTACTACTCTTCCAAAATTTCTGGTAATCCTAAGATTGGAAACAATATTTAACTTTAATTCAACAATGATCAACAACTAAAATTCTCCGTTAGCATTAACAGTATGGGATTTAACGAGATCAGCCTTAATTATGTTTCTCCAGTTATTGAGACATCTTATATTTCACCGAGAATAAGCATACGTACAATGCCATTCTAGTGTTTATTATAATTGCATCAGGATATGAAGTCTTCATGTGGTATTCATCGCAGAAAAAATTCAACCATCGCCACCCCTTACAACCAGTGATCCTTGCTTTATTTGGCTATGGAGGAGTTACGTCTCCTTAAACTATATATTCAGCGTTAGATAAAATTATTATCGCCTTGTTTCTAGGAATGATTGTACAGCAGAAAATCCTTCCCAGTTCGCTTTTCCCACTCTGCTCGAGAAAATGCGTATCAGAACAATCCTAACCGCGATCAGGAAAGGTGTTCTTAGTCAATAATTGTATAGATTAAAATTAAAAATCTTTTTAAAAAAAGTATTTTGTCGAAAACACATTTAATTTTTATATACTGTATATGTACATTAAACTATGTGATTTTATATCTAATGAAGTTAACTAATAACAGATACTTCTGTGGGATTGAGTTCTTGAGCTGGTGACTTCAATGCCTGCAGTAGTAAGTCAAATTCTGACAATATTTGTATTACCTTGGTGATAGTGAGCCAATTCGGACAATAATTTATGATTTTGTTTTTTGGATATTTGGAATATATATCACTGGTTACTTTTAACAACGATTTCGAATAATCATCGACTAACGGTTAGTAATCATCATACACTTTCAACAACGATCAAAATTGATTTAAATAATACATAAATTTTAATAACTATGTCGATCCTTCACAGCATTGGTTTTCACAGAGTGTGAACATAGGAAATAGATACGTCAAATTTTAAGTAGGAAGGTCTTAAGTTTCGTGCGAAAATTTTGAGGGATTCTCAATAATTTCTACATTTTAATGCGATGATAAGACCCGCATCAATTTAATAGTATAAGAGAGTTAAAAAATATCCATATTCCGTTTTTCTTTTTTCGGTTTTTATCGCAACACACAAAAAGGACAAACGCACGAGAGAACAAACTGACCCAACGGCCGGCGATGGAAAAATGCCAAAACAGATTAGGTCGGTTCATACAAGGACGTCTAGGTCAACCATTTAACAAAACGAGGAAATTTTATCTTCATTATACTCGTCAGTAATTGGGGAAGACAACATATCTGATTATGCAGTCAAATGTCGGTAGACAATCGGGTTTTCAAATATATACGAATCTTTTATATTATCATATGAAGTAAATTTCAAGATTTTTTTGTGATATGTACAAATGGCATCGGAAATATACAATTAAATTTATGTATTTATATAAATCCTGTAGTTTTCCCAATAAAATGCCACCTGGGAATTTATGCGGATGACATCGCTCTCTACAGCTCATCATATCGAATTAGCTGCATAGTTAAAAATCTGAACCACGGCATTTTTAAAAAAGGTGGAAGCTAAAAATCAAAAAGAAACCTGGCGCGATTCTCTTACAAGAATGCATCCTGATAAGATAATGTGACCTTCGATGATTGTGACATAAATTCGTCGGAATGGGTCTTCGGGGCAACCTTAGACTAAAAAACTGAATTTATATAATTACGTTTAAAAAATTGGTAAATGATGGTAAAGTAGCAAATAATTCCCTACTTCCAATCCTTTGTCGTGAGTCAGGTATGTACCAAAAATCGTGATTTACAAAACTGTGATCAAACCTATGCTTCTTTATGCCATCCCATCCTAGAGTTGTAACTGCGAAAGTAACGTAAAGCAATTACAAATAATTCAATACAAATTTTTAAGATTGGTTTCATCCATCCACGGGACATCAAAATTAGTGACCTGCACCAAAGGACACCCTAGTTAACAGAAGAATTAATAAAAATACTAGAAAAATATTTTAAGAGAGTATCTAACAACTCAAATGTACATTAAACAAACAAAGAAGCCCCCTTGTAAGAATGAAGCACGACTGCTATGTATGTAATATTAATATGACAACAAATATAATTATCGATGAATCTATCTATCTACAATTAAAAGGAAAATAGAATGTTCTGTCATACTTTTTTTTTCATTCATTAAGATCGCGGAATTCAGAAACAGATAATTGAAATTGCTTCCTCATTAATAATCCCGTATGTCCATATTAACGACAAGGGCTTATTAGAGCTATTTAAATGAGATTTG